TGTGATTTGATGAATAAATGCTGTATGCCTTTATTTAAGTGACATTTACAGGCTTTTAACTTTCTTAAAGTGGACCTACAGGCTTTTAAATACCTTACAATACATTTTACCACCATTTTTATGTTTAGTTTTCTCCCCAGATAAGATTTTAAACATCTAAACATTACATTTTGCTAAATGTTTTGGAAGATTCTTCCATTTATTCTGATTGAATTTTTTTTTCTTTGTTTTTTAAATTCTCAAGACGGAATTCTTAGGAGGAAATGCATACTCTGCTGAAATTTGAGTAGCTCGGTATCAGTATCAGTGATTAAACTACTAATAAATTAGGGTTCTTCTTGAATTCCTTTTTTATATCTGCTCTGATCACGAAGTCGTGAAGAAACTATGACAGATCTTCCTTTTGTCCTTATAAGGGTGCATCTTCAGTTTCTTAAAGAAACAGGTCACTGGGTCAAACTTCCTCTGGTGTTTATTGAAGGGTTGTTGCTATGGCTTCTGGAAAACAGCTGTGGAAATTCACTGAGCCCAAAGGGAACACTCATGTGATCATGGGGATTAATGGCATGGCTAAAAACTGTACATACTGTGATAATATGAACTTTGTATATTCTTTGCAGTGGTTTATTCATTATTTCTGTCCTCTTCCTGAAAGGCAACTCCGGTTGCAGTCGATTTTAGGTTGTGGGAAATTAGTTAAGTTGATGATGGGCTGAATCTTCTTACTCATTAGTATCTGTCTCAAGAGAGACTCTGCATGGAGTCTACTTCTCAGAGGTTAACAATGCCATTTACATTAGTTCAGGGCTGCATCCAAGTCTGCTCTTGTTTTATTTAACTTGATGCTTTTGTCAGTTCCACTAAACTTTTGGCAACAGTAAATAACAGCTGTGTCTGCTTTTAGATTTCTTAAATTAATTACTTGTAATTTGAAATGACAATGTTGTTTAATTATTTGAAGGATCGGAGTAGGAGTGAAAAGAAGAGAATTCAAGAAAAAAAATTAGCAGGTTTTCTCTGTTATGCTGGCAAATTAACAGACACTTAATTATGTGGGTTTGTTCATGGGAATTAAAGTTAACCATAGGCAGTTTTCCTGGTTGTGTCTCCCAGCATTAAAATAAAGGGAATCATCAAACCCCTGGAGTTAATGAGCTCCGTCACAGACTTGCAGACTTGTGCTTTGCAGGCTGTTCAAAAGAAAGGTATTTTTTCTTCTGAGTTCTTAATTTAAGAAAGTAGTAAATAGTCTAGGCATTGTGACTCAAGGAGATGAAGTCAAGCAAAGCGAGACTGCTTACAGTGTAGGAGGAACAGATGTGGCAAGTAAAAAAGTAACTTCTTTACAGGAAACAATGTGTATGCCTTATCTGACATGTCCAAATATAAAAAAAGATCAAATGTAATACCTTGTTTTATACATACTGTGAAAAAGAGATAGTATCAGAGATTTGGGCCTTTTTGTTAAAATGTGAGTTGTTTATAGGTTTTCCATTCATGTAGTTCTTTGCTAGTCATTTGTCTTAAAAGAACTTCTGAAGCTCTGTGTGTGGCACAAACCTGATGAACCATCTAGTTTTACAGGGACAGCAAGTAGAGCTGTCATTACCAAAAACTATTAAGATGTCTGTAATAAATATAATGATATTAGGAATGGGTAGTCTTCTCTGTCAGCAGCATTTTAGTTTTCAGCCTAGGGAAGCTGAATTTATAAAATGTGATTCGCACTACTCACATACTGGTAATCCACAGTCACGTCATGTGTAGGTGAAGTTGAGACTTGCAGATACTGAAAGTACATGTGGGGATTTTAAATGCTTACCAGCTGAGCTCCGTTTTTATTGGACAGTGCAGCACTGGTCCAATAGTTTATGAAATTCCCCGGTGGAAATTCCCAATGAAATGGGAGAGCTAATTTGGGGAAAATGTATGTATTGTATATATGGGGTCATGTTCCTGTAGCAGAAAGGAAATGGCTTTCCTGTTTACCATGTGGGGGCAGAGGTCTTGTTGACAAGACAGAGAGGGAGACTAAGGGGGGGAGGAGGTTCTGAAGGATTTACTCAACTAAGGACTCTACATGACCTGCAGCCTATAGAGCCTATATACTGTATCTAGAGCATCTCCTGGAACTTTAACACAACTCCAAAACCTAGAAAAGATAGGAGTCATGAAAATGATGCAGCATTGCCACAGGAAAAAAAGCTACAGAGCCTGCTTTCTACCTGGCTGGGCTCCTCACGTAACTAAGCAGTCTTGTTTCCTTAACCGTATGGGTTTGGGTATGAAAAAAGGAATTTGTTGCATCAGGAAAGTGAAGAAGTCAGCACTTGGACAGGACACAAGTATGCTGCAATGCCACAGCTTTCCTGAGCCAGGGAGGAGGACGAGGAGGGGGGGGGATGAACCAGATGTCAGCCGGCACCTTTTACCAGGAGGTAACCAAGCATGTCCCCACACATTTCATTTTCTGGTCCTCTGGCAGAGATGAAAGGATGGAAAAACTTGGCTCCACTGCAAAAATGAAGCCGAGGAATGAAGCCAGGTCCTAGCAGTCCTGCACCCACAAAAAAAAAAAAAAAAAATGGAAGCAAAAAAGAAATACTAATCTGGTCAGAGTAAGCCAAGGCATATCCTGGTTCTTGCATCATGCAACAATTTCTGAAATGAAGGCAACGTTTATAAAAAAGATTAAGAATGTATGCGTCTCCAGTGCCACATGTTTTTCATATATATCATCAAGCTGTCAGTAAGCAAAGGTTATCTTGGCACTGACAAGTATCTTATTCAGACTCTGTCCTTGCATAACTTAATGCCATTTTGAAGAAGGAATTGCTGGCAGAATGCACTTTGTGAATTTTATCCATTATCCTGAAATGCTGAGATATGATCTATAAAGCACTGAAAGAATTCATTTTATTTCAAATGTTTAAAACAGAGACCAAATCACTTACCAGGTTGAGTTTGCATTTGAATGTTTGCACTTTTTTTTTTGTTTTTTTCAGACTTTGTGCTCAATGTTTTTCCACATTCTTACCAATTAACGCATATCTTGTGCATTTAAATATTTTGCATTAAGGTTGCTTTATTCTCTAGGTAAAGGAGTTTTCTGTTTTCATTGTTCAAATGAGTCTTGCAAAGTTTGCAGTGCATTCTGTGACTTGTTTCTATGTTCTACAATGTATTCTAGCTCTGATGGAAATCATGGTAAAAATGTAACTTTGCATCTCTGATAATGTAATATTGCAAAATACTACTGGATAAATCACTATTAATTGATCAACTATTGTAATAAACTAGTGTCAAATGTATTATTTATAATAAATAATAAATATATTAGAACAAATAATCTATATAATGGTAAGAAATAAGTTATTCTCAGCAGTAATCCAGAAAATGGTATTAAAACCAAAATGCTACAGAATATCCATATCAAAACTACATCCATTCATTCTTTAATCTGCTTGCTTTAACTAGGAGATTACCCACTGAGTCCAAGAGATCTTGGTGAGACAGACATTCACTGTTGGTTGGTTTAAAAAAAACATCAAAATATGTGAACAGATCACAATGCATTAGATACAATACAAGTATATTTCTGTGGTAAAATACATTGTTTTCCAGTCTTTTGATATTCAGAATGTTCTTCATAGTTTAAATCAATATGTTTTTCTAAGGTTGACAGCTAAGTGTAAGCTAAAGCCAGCGTTAAAATCTTTTCCATTGTTTCCTCATTTTGTCAAAATTAAGGTGTACTGTTTTTACAGTACAACGTCTGTAAAAAGCTTGACGCATTTGTTCTTAATTGAGTTTGTTTTTCAATTGACAATTTAATTCTTGCAAACAGTAGTGTTTTTTCTGTGTGGATCTGAATACAGTATGTCTGGTGTTCAAATGAACTGAAGCACATCCTGGTATGATTCTGACTCCACACTAATGTGATAAAATTCTAGCATGCCTGTGAAACAGTTAATCAAGCCTAACAAACATTTGCTAAGTATTCTGTACTTCTTAAAGTCATGACATTAATTCAAAATCTGTCAACCTTTCAAGATATTGATGGACGTGCATTCACTACTCTACTGGGAAATGCACCACATGCCAGGTTACATGGTTACAACTTTTATCCTCTGATGATTAGAAACGAATGCTGTGCAATGGGCACCATTCTACTACGTAGTTTTTAAAATATCTTTGTTATTCCTGAATCCAATCAGTGTCAAAGTAACAACACAAAGTTAATACTGATACTGCCACAATTGATATATAATTATAAAACAACATAAATTTCTGTTTTTAAATCTGATATTTTCTCAGGTTTCTAAGATGTTTCCAGAAGAAAGGAGCATTGTGATTACATGAGGCTTCTTGGGTGGTGTTCCAGTGTTAAGAATGTACAACTTGTAATATAAATTTCAAAAGCCTGTGTATAAAAAAACAAATTTCCCCTAGGGGACAATAAAGTTTGCACTGAATTGAAATATTGCTGATTTTTTTAAATCAACTAAATAGTTCTTTATGCTCACTTGGCCTTCTTTTGCAGCCTCCCTGGCTGTTCTAATGCCTCAGAACATTGTTATTTATGCATCGTGCTGCCGTTATTATCGAAAGGAAGGATAAAATGACATCTGGTCTCCATTTTTTCTCATTAGAGTGACTGATGTGACCCTGTGAAATTGACAGCTTCTGCTGTGGACTCATCCTTGTTTCTGTCTGGGATTGCTTCACAATCAAGCTAAAAAATAACACAAAAGACATTGTCAGGCAGAACTCAGTGTCCCGTGTGGTGATCACAGAAACATATTTATTTCAGTAGGATCTCCAAAGTCCAAAGCTCTCATTTTTGTTAAGAAACCATGTTTACTGCAAGTGATAGGCTCCTGTGGCATCAGGTGACTCGTTTTTAATGGTCATTTTCAAACTGCGGACAGAAGTGTTTTCTTCTGCCAGTCGGTATAACCTGTGTCTGTTTTCTCTGTCTCTCCCTCTGTGTCCCTCAGCTGAACCAGTTAGACAAGGCAGCAGAAGCAGCCCACACTTACTTTCAAGCAAATCTGGAGCATGTGGAGATGTGGCAGAACCTGGAAAACTATAAGCTGCTGGAGGGAGTTGAAGAGAGCTATTTCCAAGACAGGGAAGCACGGCCACATCAGGTTAGTGGACTTTTTGTATACTTTTTCTGTGGAGATACAACAAAGCTTGGGGTACTGTATGTACTGTAGAAACAACTGTTTTAATGTGCTGTTTATATAGCATACTAAATTTAAATCTTATGATAGAAGTCATCATACACAAAGGTGTTTTAAACTGCAATGGTACTGTACAGTACTTTAAATTGTTCTTTTGACAGGTTTAGCCATTGTGTTTTGATATTGAAATGTGGTAGAAATTCTGGAGGGAATCCACAATGTGCTTGTATCCATAAGCTTGAAACACTGGTGATTAAGAACAGCAGGCTCTCTGGCTCTGAGAGTGCGTACATTTTGGGTTTATCACAAGCCCCAGAACAGTCCCTATTCCTAAAGCACCAAGTTTTTGAAATCCAACCAGTAATACATTTTTTTCTTTCCTGAGACGACTTGAGATTTTTTTTAGACAACAAAGTAAATTTGTGTTATTGATATCATCTTGGGAAGAGATTTTGGATAACATTCCAATGAAAGAAAGATGCAAACCGAGCATCTGTCAGCATTATGGCACAACTGATAACACGCTCTTTGGGTTTCAACTCTTGTGCTGTTGAAATTCAGCACACATGCACACGTGTTTTCCCGTTATCCACATCTTTCTGTGGCTTTGTGCTGTCAATGTTGTGCATAAGTAAGAATTATTAGTGATATCTCTAAGTTCAAACTGAAAGGTTTCCAGAAGCAAGCAGAATTTTTTTCTTGCCTATGTCTGATTTGTCATAACTGTCCCATGTCAAAGATATACTGTCTATGAACAAAGAAAAGAAAAGGCACTCAATCATACAGTCCCGATCAATCCAAATATTAGCATGCCCTCTAATGTAATATCGTGGTTTATTTTAATGGAGTTTTTAATGAAAGTTCGGGAGGAATGAAGGTAGCCGCGCTCATTGGACACAGCTGCTGCAATTCTCACTAATCCCGACATAAGCAACCGGTCTCCATAAATATCAAACGTCACCCTCTCCTCTTCCTCGTTCGTTTTCTGCATCCCTCCTCCACCCCCTCTCCACCTTTGCAGCTGCCCCATTGGTCGCATGGGGGTCCTATCCTCCCCGTCCAACAGCCGGGAGGTCGGCCCTCAGCCAAGCGGGTTACGCCAAATCTCCACATCACAATGAACGATTCTAATTTCTCCCAAGCTTTCGGCTGCTGTCATTCCTCGTGAAATATAGCTATCCACAGAAATAGGATGCATTTTGTTGCATCACTGGACAACTGCTTTAGAGTGTTGCTACATTCTTTGGAGTCCAATCAGCCCCAAATGATTCGCTACAGTATATTCTATGGTGAAAACCGGAGCTAATGAGGATCTGGCCAAGGACTGTTAACCAGAATGTTGGACATTAACAAATAAATCCTGGTCTCAGGGCTTTCAGGAATGTGCCACTTAAGTTTGATTCTGACTAAATCACTATGACCCATTGAACTCTGTGCTTTTGTCTTCAAAGAGCATGTGTTTTCCCCCTTCGATTGCAGCAAGCCTTCACAACGGGAGTGAAACACTATGATGATGGGAACTATGAGAAGGCAATTGAGTTCTTCGAAGAGGCACTGGTGGAATACTACAAGGCTGACGTGGAGTGCAGGGCACTGTGTGAGGGACCTCAAAAATTCGAGGAATATGAGTACTTGGAGTACCGCCCAAGCCTTTACAGAGCAATTTCAGGTAAGGTTCCCACTGCTCTGCTCCTTTATTCCTGTTTTAAAAGGAAGATGACAAAAGCACATTGTCGCTGTTTTAAATACTTGCTTTTCTTTGGGTGTGGTGCAAGAAGACATTGTTTCTGATAGAAATCTATAGCATTCAGTTTCAAACAGAGGTTTAGGAGAAGACCAAGAACAGAAGAACATTAGAAGAGTTACGAATGAGACAAAGCCACTTGGCCCATCCCCCCTATTTAGTAGTTAGTAGCTAACTGATTGGAGGATTACACCCAGACATTTCTTGAAAGAAGCCAGAGTATCACCTTCATCAGAGTCAAATTCATAACCTCACAATCAACAGGTTGACAGGTTCCATATAGTTTCCACTTGTGTTCTCTTAGTCATCTCATCCACTGCTGCACTCCTGTGTGCTCATGTTCAGAGCACAAGCTACCGCCTTGTGTAGCTTCTCTTGCCCCCCCCCCCTGCTCAGTCAACGCCTTTGTAGCAGCTCCCTGGCTTTTTCCGTGCAAAATGAGAGGCTCACCTTGTGCTTGTGGGCAGGTGGCCGGTCTCTCTGCCAGGTGCATCACATCAATTAAACAGCTCATCCATATCACTCCTTTACTTCACATAAATGAATGCTTTTGATTTCTAAGAACAGGCTGTCTCACTCTTTTTTTCTGGGAGACACACCTGCATCATAGAGGAATCTGGACTTTTGTTCCGCAGTTCCACCTGCTACTGTACCTTTCATATAACAAAGCTGTTTGACACTTGAGCTGGTCAAACTTGACCAGCCTGTTCCTCTGCAGGAGTGGTTATTAGTGAGGCAGCACCTTACGATCTGTTCCTCACCCGGCAGTTCAGCAAGAAGGCCTCTAATTGCACTGCTCTTGGAAACATATTTGGAAACTCATTTGAGAATCTGTTCTGTCTTGAGTGTTAAACAGTCATATTATGTGAAATCTAAGCTTTTTCACCGCACTGGGTAAGTGTATCACTTCATCGGGTCCACAGTCCTTTAGCATAATGCCTCTTCACTGGTACCTCCTACAGTGCCTATTTTGACTAAAGCTGAGAGTTCCCGTCATTTACTAAGGCTTGCCATATGGATCTAATATGCTGTGCAGCCCAACGAAAACATACAGCATGCTCCCTTCTGGAAAACCAATACGCTGGAAGCCTTTGGGTTGTGAGAGACTAATCTGATTGTTTGGTTAGGGATGTGAGCTTCTTATTATTTTCTTTTGTGGGGCTGAGACAGCACCTTGTAGAACCCTGTCTGTGCTAGTTCTAAAAACACTGTGACGCATACCTAGTTATCTTCTTCCCACATTAAAACACTTTCAGAATCACTTTAGATGGAAAAGATGCAGCAGAGAATTGTATCTTTTGGCATGAATGAATTCTAGCTCTGTTTCATTACAAATTGCTTAAGCACCTTTACACTTTTTAATCCTTCACAAGGATTTGGGAGCTACTTAGTCTGAAGATTTTGTATCAAATTTAAAGTTGATTTCTCTTTTGAGTTTGGTCAAGGCTTTTTATGAAGAATGTTGCCACTTCCTAGGAGAGCATGAAAAATCAGATGATGGAAGAAATCAAAATAAAAAAATATTATGGTTAGCGAACCCTTATTAAATTAAGAGCAGAGGAAAAGGCAACTGAAATGTGCTGTTTATCTAAAAATACTGTAAATATTCTCCCCCAGGATATCTTTAGTGCTTTGTATTGCCTTGGGAAAATCATGAAGTTGAATTTATTTTTCCTGACTACAATTCCAATGGTTGATATTTCAATAAATCTAACAGTTTTATTTCATACATGACACATTGTAAGACATTGCATGAAGTCACAGAAAGACCAAGAGGCATTGGTGTGAGAGAGGGATAACAGTGAAGGCATATGCCAGGAAAGGAGAAAATGACAGCTTTAAATGCATGTTTTGGGGTATACGTTGGATATAATGAGAGAAGCGTTTGTGGCTCTTTTGTAGTCTGAATGAATAGAGGATGATCCAAATATGTCATAAAAGTATAGAGGCTGTGACAGCTGCTCATGCAGTCATGGCTGTTAATGCAGTCATTGAAAAATAGCTGTGCTGCTTATTTTGGCAGAGGAAAGTGGAATTGTTGCTGTCAGGAACTGCATCTCAGTTTCCATCTTATCCAGAACTTTTTAAAATGAATCCACATCCTAAACCACCTCCAAGAGCTTGTCAAAAAACAGCGGACGTAGAGATGGAGGAGTCGCAGTATGATCTGGAGTGAGGCTAAAATGTGTTAAATTCTCCTACCTTTTTTGTGCGGAACCCTTAGTAGTGTATGATAATCTATACAGTTTTCACTTTCTTGCTTTTTTCCCCCAAGAAAAGAAAAGGTTCTCCACTGTCTGATGCAAAATCTGATTAGAACTGGTGTTAAGATCTCAGTGAGTGCTATTATAACAGCTGTCTTAAATTGTTAGATTTTTTATGTCGCAGAAAGCACCTCTGTGCTGCACTCAACATAAACCTGTCAGAATAGAAGCACTGTTGTTCAGTCAGCCCAGTCTAATTACTGACGTGCCTGAGGAAATTGAGCTAGATAAGTATCTTCACAGTCCTCTTGGACAAATTGCCTCCATGATTTCTTTCCATTTTAGGAAGCTGAGCAACAACAGGTCCAGAATCTCAAATCAAAGACTTCCATTCAGAAGCAGATTCTGTTTCTCTTCTCGCTTCTCACTGTATTGAGCATCCAGCTATTCCTTCACATATTGTTTTTCCATTACACATATTCTGGTGTTACTTCACCTTGCATGACTGTCCCTTTCAAAACAAGGAAGATGAAAAACACTTTTGCTTAAAAATGAAAAAACAAAAACAAATGAAATACTCTTTTTTAGAAAAAAGCTAAAAGTGGATATTAATATGCAAATGAGAGCTTTGCAACCAAAGGCATTGATGCTTTTTAAATTCCAGATGCTGATTTTTCTTACCCATCATAAGTGTTCATTCGTTTTAGGGGAATTTTTTAACTTTCTGCAAAATTAACTTTCCTCTGTATCCTCTATATACCCCATCAACTGAGAAAGAAAGACATGCAAAAACTGTGAAATCAGGTCATCTTCATGCACGTCCACGAATTAAAGTTGCTTTGCTAATTAGAAGCCCCAGAGTGCTATTTCTTGTTTATCCTTTTTATAATTTTTTATTAATTTCGAAGAAACAAGAGAGTACAACAAATTAAAAAAAACAAGAGATCACTAAAAATAAAAGTGGATAAAAGTGGAAGGAGAAGTGAAGAAAACATTATGCCAAGAGGAAGCCCCTGACCATGCTGTTTAACCGCATGTCCACCCAAAAGTTCTCTGTCACATTACACTCTCCGAACATTTCAGGATAGAAACAGGGTACTGTAAATCCTGACAGCATCTGTGATTGAACCTGATTAGAGTGGTGCAATGCCTTTAACTCTTTCCAGGCATTGTTAGGATTAAGATTTGAATGTTCCTCTGCTTGTTCCTGGCTCCTGGCTCCTGGATGTGCTCATTGTTCCTGAAATGTTGTACACTGTGAAAGAGAGATCTTAAAAACCCTGTATGATTTATATGTTTAGTCATCTGTGTGAAGATCGCTGACCCCTGCAGTAAATGGATAGTACACTTGTGTGAAGTGTGTGAACCAGACAGCAGGCAAGGTCAGTGTTTGGCAGCCTGCAACATGAAGGTTGCTTCGAGTTTCCAGACTGTCCAGAGTCTCGTGTGAGCAGTGTGAATTGGAGCCGGTGCTGAAACTCAGTCAAGGCTACAAGAAAATGATGAATGACAATCAGGGCTTACACCTTGTAGTTCTTTTCATCTGTAAAATTTGGTATTCATAAAATGCAGACCTGTGTTCATAAATTCGTCGAGTTTATTTAGTGTTGGTTGGCACATCCGTCCTTGCTCCTCTCAGGTTTTATGTTTCATACTTGGTGACTACATCACTAAATCACTAGATTTAGGCCATTTGTCATTTCTGAAGTATTATCTCTCAGAGGGAATGTCTAGAGTTTATGGGCTATTCAATACTTTATAAAATCAAAGGTTGCTCAAAACCCTGGAAATAACACGGCACAGCAATTACATTTCTATGAAGACATCATTTCTATAAAAGCAGCTCCATCATCATTGTTCTTTAAATATATAACTTAATATTATTTTTATACGGATAGTGACTACAAATAACTCATTAGCTAGTCCAGTCTTTTAGTATGCTATTGAGATTCTGTGTAGTCTTTCTAGTGACTTCATTTGGTTCACTAATTTACTGATTGTGGCATATAAAGTTTTTTTTTTTTCATTTTAGAGAAAGGCATTTTTGAAGAAAGGTTGCCTTCAATGTGTTTTGTCATTTCTTTATTCACTTCTGGGATCTTTATTCATAGAAAATCAGATGATCACATTCACATGAGGTTTTTGCCAATATTGAGCTTAGGGACCATTTAACAGAGGGATTATAGAAAGCAAAGCCTTTTAATTTCCCCCATATATACTGAATTGGGAGCAAGACTTCACTTCATAGGAATGTACCAGCTGTGGAGGGTTGGAAATATAGCTAAAATTTTGTTAGGAGGAAGGGGTACTGTACAGAACTTTTTAAGGGATGTTTAATTAGACAAAAGTAAGCTCCACTTTTACATTTTTTCCTTCTTCTGTTTTTGTTTTTGACCAAAGTATTATGTTTCTGTAAAGCCTTAATTTATGAACCTGTGTGAAACAAAGATTTGCAAATGATTTATTGGATTTGCTTTTTCTTAGAAAGCAGGCAGTTGTTAGTTGTTCTGCGGCAAGGACATTAAAATTTGGTTATGTCACAACCTCAATGCCTTATAGAGTGAAAAATATTCTGAAGTGGCTCCACTCCCAGACACTGAAGGAATGTAATTTTAACCCTGATCTGAATTAAAGAATAAACTATTTTGTGTCTACAGTATTGAAACAGACCTATCTGTATTTCACAGTATTCCTGACAGTTTCCCAATTAAGGCTGCTATAGATTAAGTATATGGAGTAGAACACGTTGAGTAATTTTGCGTGCGTGTGTGCGTGTGTGCGTGTGTGTGTGTACTTTGGTAGTTAAGTAGTTTTGGTAGTAATATGGAACTAAACTGGAGCTAATCAAATTACCACTCTGCCATAAAATTTATTAATCTTTTTATTTTTCTAATCTCATCTGAGGGAGAGAGTATGTAGTTTCTCTTTTTAAAAACACAGGCAGTTAATAGTATGATTACAGAAAGGCTGTAATGACATACTATAGTCATTACTATAGATAGTTATTATACTTTACCTGACACTTTGTAGGTTGTAAGAGGACACTGGACAGACCAGTGACATACATCATTTAAGAGTCATATGAGAAGTACAGTTTTGTATTTAAAGATATAAGTTAAATTTCTGACATCTTTGGATCTTGCATTTTGTTGCAGGATTCTTTAATGTACAGTATGCAGCCTGGTAGTACTATTAACTTGCTATAAGTAAATGTCCAAATTTTCTTTATCTGTCATTTCCGAAGTCACAGAAACATTATGTCAGCTAAGACGTTTTTCAGGGGATATGTACTGCACTGTATGTAACCTACTTACAATATTAGGAAAAATACCTTTGTTTATTTCTTTAGGGTGATGGTTAAAATGCTAATTTTGATATATGTGTTTTCCATTCCCTTCTGTATTTACAGTAGCATTATATGCGGATAAGTACATAAACAGTAGTCCAAAGCCCAAAACAATTTGTTAAAAGTAACAGGACAGAAACTGACTTTTATTCGTTTTTTCAAATGGTAAAAATAGCCATTGCCTATATAGATTTCAGAGTAACTGCTGTCTGAGTAAAAGGTCTAGGAGATAACCAATCGGCTTTCCCGAGTATAATTTGCTGTCTGTGATGGCAGATTGCTATCCATTAATAAGAGCGGAATTTGAAAGACTTCGCGAGGCTTTCACAGACTGAGAAGGATCTCTCTCTCCTGTTTCAGATCACTATACGCAGGTCTTGGCTTGTGAGCACGAGTGTGTGAGAGAGCTGGCCACACGACCAGGCCGGCTGTCACCCATGGAAAACTACCTGCCTCTGCACTATGACTATCTCCAGTTCGCCTACTTCAAAGGTAACTGAGCGTCTCTGGTTCTGCTGCTTCACTCATTTGTTAATAAAACATACTTTTAAAAAATGTTAGAAGACCAAAACACTTTCAGTACTTGGGACACACCTTGACGTGTATAACTGTCAGCTGGTGATAAAGAATCAACTTCTGTTGCCAGTTCCACCATTCTTGTAGTAATAAAATTATTGGTTTGAATCTGGAGCAGCTCTGCTCCCGAATAAATGCTTTTACTTCTTTTCTGTTGGAGAAAGACAGACATAATTCAAACAAGCAGAAAAACACAGTTCTTTACTCACTCAGTTCCCCTCTACTGTCACTCTAAAGCTCTCTTAATACTGTAGGTGTCACTCTGTTCCTTGCATTAGACATTGCCTTTATTTTTATTTGAACACAAAGAGCTGTACTCCCCAAATACAGTACAAAAGACATTGTCAGCTGATTTGTCCTTTGTGTCCATAGGAAGTGCAGGTCAGTATTTACCCAGCTTTGTGTCAGGAGCAGTTTACTACTATTTTGTTCTGGGAGAATTTACACCTTCTCAGATGTTGTCAGTTTATTTCTACTGAAAGCTCTGATGATTTCATTGATGTAACAGGCCACCACATCCATAGATTGAACTACCTGCAGCATTTCTTAACTTGTACATTTAAAAAAAAAGAAAACTCACCATTGCATTTTATAATTGCTTTAATTTTGAAATCTCCAATTATTTTATACCTTGGCATTATGGCTTCCCCTTCTGTGCTGAAGGGTAAGAATAAGGATCTGTGGAAGTGCTTCTCTGAAATGCCATCATCGCCATTTGACATGCTATGAACTCCGCAGTGTCTTACATGTGATTCACCACTGACCAGAGGAGTGGTGTGTCTTTTGAATCCTGGCCCTGCCTCGAACCTGTGATGTATACACTGTAAGGCTCAACCTGTCCTCAGAACGAACATCTTTACTGGTTGAACCACTTGGCTGGCCTGCAGCCTTTACCTTTCCATCTACAACCCCAGGTTCAAAGAATTTATTGCAGGGTTTCCTTGAAGTTTTCATAAATACCATGACAAGCCCCCTTCTCATAAAATAAGATCACTTTATTGGCCATATACAATTTCCTGGATTAGGAATTTGTCTTTTCACATACCCCAGCTTTCTCTCCATGAGACACACAGACAGGGAGAGAAGCTTGGGGTCAGAGCGCAGGGTCAGCCATTTATACGGCGCCCCTGTTGGGGTTAAGGGCCTTGCTCAGGGGCCCAACAGAGTAGGATTCCTCTGCCGGCCGGGGGATACGAACTGGCAACTTTTCAGCCACAGGCGCAGATCTTTAGCCACAGAGCCACTGCACCGCCCTTTTTTTAAATAAGATAATTATTTATAAGATAATTAATGATTTAACATGAGCTAAATCTTCTGTGAAAAAGTATTTTTAAAACAAACTATTAATGACATTTTTATGGGCATACAGCTTTCATTGTTTACGACCTAGGAAAGTATGGAGATATTATAATTGCGTAAGTATTTCCAGAGCACTATAGTCAGGAAATAATATGGGGAGTTGAGTTATTTTACAAGGCCATAAAGAGGTATGGGGGTTACATGTGTGCAGGGACACTCACGTAGCCAAATCCTTTCAAGCCCCTGCCAGCTCCTGTTAAAAAATCTAGAAAAATAAGCGCCGCTTGGAAATAGGATCACTATTAAAAAAATTGCTTTTCGTATTTAGATGTTTCCACTATCTCAGCAAATTTACTCTATTCTCTGTATATTGGTCATAAGTTTGGAATGTTATTCTGAATATAAAGGTACAGTGTTTTATTTCAAAGGTTGTTTTATATTCATCGTAAACCTTTAATTATGAAAATGGATTCTATTCCTCGTTCAATGCCTGTGCTATTAATTTTAATTAAAGAATATGGCACATGGCTTTCATGGGATTCCCAGCTTCAGATTCCCTGAAGTCTGGGAAGCTGGGATGAAGAAAGAGCAGGGATGAAATCAAATCAGACACGGGGGTGTGTTTGAAAAGGAAGTAAGCAAGTGATTTTACAGTTCTTCTGCTGCTAAAAAAAAACCAAAACAGCATCATTGTGCAAAAGAGCTGACTGGGGTGGTATTCCTGTCTTTTTCTAGTGGACAAAATCTCTGAAGCTTTGGAATGTGCCGAGACCTACCTTCTATTTCACAAGGGGGATGAGTTCATGACTGAAAACATGGAGTTTTACAAGGAGGTTCTGGGTGAAGAACGAAAGCCCAGACGGGTATGGAAAGAGAAAGTACACCCTGGTGTGAATGGGTGTTTTATGACCTTCTTCCTTGTACCTTACTGGCTAAACCCATTGTTATAGAAGTGCACTAATCCTACATTACTGATTACAACCAAAAGCCATGATTCTGCACACTGGACTAAATAGCATGGCCTACTGAATGTAAACATGAGTATTCTACTGTTTTCCCTTGTGATATCAACTGCATTTTTTGTCTTATTGATGCATCTTAATCTTCTTTTAGTGAGTTTGGTGAGGTTTTTTCTCAAAATCCAATCTGATGTTATTGCACAGCATATGTCGGTCAAGTTAAACTCCAGTGATCGTGCAGTCAGCAGGATTTCAGAAACTATGAAAGAAGCTTGGTTATCCAGTGGCAGAGGAACAAGGCTTGTTATCAGGAGGTTCCAAGTTCAAGCCCTAGCTATGCCAATGATTCTCTATGTGTTACTCTGAGCATGATGCTTAACCTCATGCATCTTTCTTTAGGAAAGACATAAGACCAAGGTCCAATTGTAAATCATTCCACAGCAGCATTTTTATATATAGACGTTTCCTTCCTCATTACCATGACTCGTTTTAGATTAAAGCGTCTGTTAAAGGGGTAAATAAAATTATAATAAAAGTAAGACATTATCAGTTTTGCACACACAAAAAATGAGAAAGAATAGCAACAAATTCATATACTGTACCTAATGACAGAACTCTTAATTTTATAAGGGTCTGTTTAGAAACTCCTGGAAGGCATGCATTTCCTTCAGGTTTGCATGGAGACAGATTTGCAAGGAGGCATTGGTAATTAACAGTGCTGAAAGAAATTTGGAAATAGACTTGTATGTCTTAATTACATGATTGGTCATGCTTCTTTTGTCCAGTTTTATGCCGTTATCCTGCCCAAGCAAGGCCACTGCCTTCTCAATGTCTCAATGTCTCAATGTTCTTGGCTAGTTTTTGGAGACTTAGATGTGGAATGCTCATTTTTTAAAAAATATTTTTAAAAATCTGAAATGCACATTGAAATTCTGTAGAACTTACGGAAACAATTTGAAGCTGTTTGCATTATGGTTAGAATGAGAATTTTGGTGGTTGCAAATGCTACTGAGTACTCAGATGTCATAACATTCTTAATAATTTCTCGTTCCCTTTACTGCAGATTGCATCCAATAAGCCATTCCTTCTGTTCCATACTCGTTGCACTGTGTACACAGTAGCTCCAGTTACAGCTAAAGTGTAATGAATGCCAGCTCCATTTAATAAAATACTTTTGCAATACACATACTTGGACACTGTACCCTTCATTAGCTCGTTGGTTTGACTTTCGACTTACAGTGAGTGGTGGTGTGGGAGCAGGAACAGGAATTAATTAGTATGTGCCTGCATATTATTAATTTTGCAGGATGAAAAAAAATGGATTTTGTGAAGCAATGGCAAGAAAAAGTAAATTGCACTTCTACAGGCTGTGGTTACTCCGACATTGTTGTCACCAAGATACCAGAGCAGATACCAGTGTCTTGTGTTTCCACAGGAGGCTGAAAGGTACATCAGCCGTCACCAGAAGGAAGCAGAACTTCTCACTGTGGGCACTGCAAATCTCGGTGTTGAATATACAGAGCCGGTACGTCGCGATTATCATACAATACTGTGGTAAATGTCATTCGCTGAAGTTCAGGATGTCTTCACCTGCGTTGCCCAGGATTGCAATAGAAAGATTTAAGCCCAGTGGGAACACAGACTCATTAAAATGAGGAATTTAAGAGTTGTGTTTGAAGATTGCACGGTGCCAGAAACATAGAGATTAACATATCTCATTAGAATCAAACAGCAGCAGGAGTTGCAGAGTTATGTGAAATATTTAATTGCAGTCGTCTGACATTTCAAGTAATTTTAGAGATATGCTACAGAAAATGCACCACAGGGCCTCAACACTCTCAATGACCTCATCTCTGATAACTCCAACTGTGTGGCAGTATAACGTGAGTATCCAGAATAGCCTGGAATTAGCCCAAATTAGGCAGCTCTGAAAGAACAGTTGGCATGAACTGAAAAGGAGCAAAATGAATGAAACAGGTGGCAGAATGTCAGGCCAAGTATGGAGAAATTCATCTTTGGCAAGTAGCACCTCCTTGTGGAAATAACAGGTATAGCTTCAGCCAAGTCTGGGAAAACCTTGCCAATTTCTGCAGTCTTTGAGATAGGTCTTAGTCTTTTTTTCTTATCTATGTTGTTGAAATTATCCCAGGTATTTACAAACATTCCCTCCTTCAATTTAAAGGTGCCATATTTAGGCATTTGTCTTTAAAAAATGAGAATGCGTCTTTATGTGCAATGTTATTATTTTTTGTTTTAATGTGATGACCAAGTTTCTGTTCATTGATTTGGTTATATTTAGTGTTTAGGTTATACCATATAAAATGTATATGATTGATGTAATAATTAATGTTATGTAGTTACATGATATAATGTAATAGCAGAAAGAAAAACTAAAGGAAGAGATTAGAGTCTTCAAAGTCTGTTTTCTACATTTGTTATTTCTGCACAGAATTACTGGAGCAGCACAGGGGGAAGAGAGGATGTGAACAGGTAATAGAAAAGCCTTTTTTCCTCCTCATTCCTGTTGAACATGTGCTTAGTATTTTAGAAGATTTAAGAATGTACTGTGCATTGATATAACATATCTGTGGACAAAGTCACTTCTATAGCCTTAGCAGACACCACACCTCTAGGTTCACTTAAAATCATGGAAGTTGTTTCGATACCAACAGATGAAGGAGTTTAAACTTAACACGATAAGTTGTGAATGTCTGTCATTTGCTTTTACAAAACAGTTTTCACGCAGGGTAATTTCACATATCATTTGAGAGGCTTGTATAATATGGCTTAGACTTCGCTGACACCTGCTGGTAGAAATTTGTTACAGCATATTCTCCCAAGTTTTTTTAAAGCTAGCTCTTCGCTAGGAATGACAGCAGCCGAGGATTGTGTGACAGATGAATTGTTTTTTGGATTTAGTGAAACCTTTGGTTTAATCTGCCTGGCTGAGGGCCAACCTCCTGGCTGTAGGACAGGGAGGCCAGGACTCCCATGCTTGGTAAAAAGGAGACCAAGGAGTAGCTGCAAATGTGGAGGGGGGATGCAAAAACAAGCGAGGAGGAGGAGAGGGTGGGGTGTGGTATACATGGGAACTGAGGCAATTATGTCGGGATTAGTTGCGAGTTGCAGCAACGGAGCTTAATTTGTTCTGCTTCCTTCATCCCTCCACTTAAAATACTTTACAACCTAAACAACATTATTGACATTTAAATTAAAGTGAAGACTGGTACTTTAAGTTATGTTAACAGTACAGTACATTTAACAAATTATTCAGTATGTGTGTTATATTGCTTACACTGTAGGCCATATTAGTTTAAATGCGTACACATACAGTATAAGCAATTCTAAAAGTCAGAGAGGCACATACGAGGAGGTGCTGAACTATTTTGATGATGCCTTCAAGGCCAACAGCTGCAAGGTTAAAGGGGAGTAGTTCTCAGCAAGTTAATCTTATTTGATGTGAATGTGACATCAGATTCGAAGTTTCACTATGTTTACAAAAAGAGAAAAGGAGCTCTGTTGCACTCCTCGCTTTACTGTTGCCCAAGTAACGTTGTGCACAATCTTCACTCTGTAAGGCGGGTTTTGTGGCAGCAATGTGATGTTAATCTTTTCCTATATGAAAGCAATTAAATGATTAGTTCCTTTTTGTGAAAATACAATATGACTGCGCAATAAGAGCTGGCTCACAGGATCCTCCCATTTAAAAGTAGTGGTCCACTGATTTCCCCTCGCTGACTCAGCCTGCATTTTTCTAATGGGTTTTGCAAGAAGCAAAATGGGATGAATGTGTAAATTGAAACTAGAGTAAGGGTTAAAAGTGGAGCTGCACTTAGGTTTAGGTGTATGGTTGGAAACATAGTAAGTGTTAGGAATGAGTCACACTGCCTTTTATACAGTATGTAGATTTGTTGATGGGCTTTGACTCTATGTTATTAACCTTAGTAAACTTTATTGAAGCAATTATTAATCTCAAATAGTTTTCTTCCGACTTTCAAGGGTTCCTTCAGGCACGGATGGGTGGCTAGACTATGTCCCCATAACAGAGAAGAAGAACACTACCTCAGGAATTGCACGTGAGCTGAGAGAAGGTACCGCTGTCTACTCTTAAACTCTTGAATTCTATTGAATCTTGTTTATCTTCAATATAATGTAAGCAGAAGAAGAACTACAGGGAATATGACTTATGTTTACTTGGGTTCTTATTTTCTATTTCACCCTCTCACTCTCTTCAGGTGGACCTTTACTGTACGATGAAGTGAAGTTAGTCCTGAACTCAGAGATGCTCAATGGCAGCCAGCGAGTCCTGTTTGACAGTGTCATTACGGAGGAGGAGTGTTTGGAACTCAAAAATGTGGCCAACGTAAGCATTGTTGTTTGACATACTGTATATATTCCAGATGATAGGAATCCCTAGTTGCCATTTGTAATGCTACACTGCTCCACAACTTTGTTTTTCATAATATGTGCATGTAAGTGTATTGTTGTGCTCTTGCCCTACTGTATGTAGGAACTTTGCATGTTGTCCCTCTGGAGGGACTCCACAAAACGTGGTATCTATGTCAATACATAGAGATGCAATAACAATGATACTCTCTGTGCATTGTGGATTGTCTATATTCTTTGTTTATTTTGTGTGATTTGTCTGTTATACTGTACATGTACATACAGTATATAAATATAGGAAAGAATGCAACTGACCTTTCATTGTCCAGTATTGTGCTATAGTGAGAAGCATTTCAAACTGCAACAAATGAGTATTGTAACCAATAGCATTTCTTGCATTGTTAATGCTTCTCAATATGTATCATGTTTAAACTGAGACTTGTATTTGTGTTTCATCCATTTGTTCACTTATGATGTGAATTAAATCTATTCTTCAATTCAAATTGCAATTGTTAGGTTTCCTTTTCATAGAGGAAACAATCCTCTGAGAAGCAAAAAGGCATCATTAACTACAGCATTTGGGATTTTGGTTCAATGTTGCTTAATCTTTATATATTTGCATACAGTACCATTAATCCTGTACTAGTTCCATTGTTTTCATTTTTAATATATATTTCACAGACAATTGTCATAGCAGGAGATGGGTACAGAGGGAAGATGTCACCTCACACTCCAAATGAGAAATTTGAAGGAGCCACAGTCCTGAAAGCTTTGCAGGCAAGTTTTCTCATTTTCTCTCAGCAACTAATCTAATAAGCAGATACTGTAGGTAAACCGGGTGATGGAACAGAATATAATTGACACAAGGAGTTATGCAGGTCTGTGACTGGAGACTCCGTTTCCAGATCACCTGGCACTCAGTAGGTATCCACATGTACACACACATACACATACAGTACGCAAACATTTCACTATCTAAACAAAGGCAATACGTCTGGTTTCAAACATTAAAAAAAAAACTTTAGCCTGGAATTCCGGAGATAGCTTTGCTTGCTCTGTGGGTTTGCCTATTTCAAGGTTGCGCACGCGATTTATAAGAGGATACCATTAGATACCAGGGGGTAGTATTTTCTTTAAAATATCAATGTACATAAAAGGAGTAATGACATTTTATGTTTGTTAATAGGATGTTCATTGTTTAATTGGGTACTCACTGGATAAATGTGTATATCAGAATTCTAATTATTATTTTGGAGAATTCTTTTTTTGCTTTGTAATGGAATATTCTAGGGGGAGGAGTTTTACCTAGAAAAGGAGCTCCTCAAGATAGGAGAAGAGAGATAAGAGCAGGTTGGTAGCGGTGTAGAATAGGAACTGCTTACAACAATCTTTTTTTTTCAATCAATCAATCAATCAACATACTTTAATTTTGTACTATAATGTACTATAATTTTGTGTTTTTTCCCTTGGCTAGTTTGTATCTTTCACTTTGTTTTTCACATTGTTCCTCATAATAAACACCATTTCACCATTTCATTATTGCTGCATTCCATCTATGCCCCTAAACATTTGAAGGATGAGACTGTGACAAAGTCCCTCATGTGTAGTGTATATATATACATGAAGGTATACCTATATAGTGAGGGCATAGTGTAGCATAGTAAGTAAGCCATTGTTAAGTTGTGGGTTCAATTCTCTGCTGCAGGCACTGCTGTTATATCGTGACTGAGGTACTGTACTTAACCCCATTCATAGTCGCACGCTCTCTAGTCTGCTTAATCCTGCTGAAACCAGGATGTTTTGATGAGTGGCTCTTGTACAGACTTTACTTTTGCATTTTTTACATATCGAGACAAAAAAGGTAAACTGTGAATGCTCAGCACAGTCAGTGTTATCCACTATAGATGCCCTGTAATAAGCCAGTATTGTGTCTCCACTTGTATTCAGGAACTAATATATCTGTCCATCCATTTTCGGACTGCTTTATCCAATGCAGGGTAAAGCTGGAGCCTATCCTGGCAAAAATGGGCACAGGGACGTGACAAAGACACACACACACACCCACACCAGGTTTAATATTCTCCTGAAACCAATTAGCCTCCCAGTACAGTATGTCTTTGGAGCATACTGTAGGTGGAAACTGGAACACCCAGAGGAAACCCACGTGAACATGGAGAGAACACACACACTCCACGCAGATAGCACTCCAGGATTTGAACCCAGGGAAGATATGCTAACCACCATGTTGCCTTAACAAAACATCTGTATTTTATATATTTATTATGCTCGGGGTCTTTGATGATTTTTATGCTTTGTTTGCAGTATGGCTACGAGGGACGAGTCCCACTGAAAAGTGCCCGTTTGTTTTACGAAACTAGCGAAAAGGCTAGGAAAATCATCGAGTCCTATTTCATGCTGAACACAACACTGTACTTCTCTTATACTCACCTTGTCTGCAGGACTGCTGTTAAAGGTATGGTGCATGTTGGATTGTTGTTGCAGTAGTGCTTTGCAATTTTGAAACATCTGCTATTACAGGGCACAGTGTAGTTGCATGTTTTAGCCTGATCCCATCAGATCTCTGAAGCAAAGCAAAGATTGATCAAATGTGTACTGGAAAGGAAGATACAGGTTTAGTTGGTTTATTTTTTTCACAGTGCATTCCTAATATTAAGGTTCAGCTCCCTGCAATCAGTGCATCTTGTAAGCAAACTCCAAGGAGTCCTGCACAATTTACATTGGTTCTTCAGGATCATTTTGGGGTGAAACGTTTGGAAGATTTAAATATAAGGGGACATCATGTGAAGATCTGTTCATTTTTCCATTTAGATTGCTGAATTCAGAACTTGTTGTTTTTATTTTTAAGGCCAACAAGACCACCGGAACGATCTGAGCCATCCCATCCACGCAGATAACTGCCTGCTGGACCCTGAGGCACATGAGTGCTGGAAAGAGCCACCTGCGTATACCTACAGGGATTACAGGTGAGCACATTTTTCCAAAGTACAGCAAATATATTGCTTGCACTGTTATGGCTGTATCAGCTAACAAACAAAAAAACTGTAAAAGAAATGTTACAATTGGCATTACTTTAAAGTAGTAAATCTGCTTTAGGCAGATAAGAGTTGCAGAACAGGATTTTTTTTAAATAAATTGCCTTGGCGGTCTTTTTGAATCTGTTTTTTTAACCTTTCGTTTAACAGTGGTTAGTCAATTGAGAACAAATGCTCTTTTGTAACGATGTCCTGAAAAGTACTCATTTATACAGCATGGCTTTGACATGTAGCCTGGGACTGTAACTCCTGACCCTCTGGTCTAGTCCTTTCACTACTACTGGTTTTTATGATTTTTAATAATATGGGATTTGACTTATTCATTTCATATTGTTTTCTGAAGTACAAAAAAATCACAGAAGCCCACAGAAGTCTACAGATATTTGAGACTTTTTTTGTTCATGCAAGTCAAGCTCCAAAATATATTTTTATTAACAGATAATTTCAAACTGAAGATATTTGTTGTTATGTTGATGCTAACAAACTGGAAAAAGAGGCTGTCCCTCTAACCCTGACCATAACACTAACCCTCTGCCGCGTCCTGGAGGTCATGTAACCTTTGCTCCTCAAGCAAGTGGTTGCGTGACCTCGTTTACCTCCCCAAGGTCACACGACCTTTGCTGCACTAACACCCAGCGGTTGTGTGATGTCTGCTGCATCCTAGATGTTGCGTTACCTCTTCTGCAACTCAGAGGTCACACGACCTTAGCTGTGCTGCTTTCCAAAGGCTGTGTGACCCATGCAGTGCCACATCCCAGTGGTTGCTCTACAGTACATCTGCTGCATCCTAGAGATCGCATGACCTTTGAAGCGCTGCATGACCGTTGTTTTGCCTTGTACTAGATGTCACGTGACCCTTGCTGCCCTTGTATGACCATGTCCCAGAGGTTGTATGAACTCTCCTGCATCCCAGGAATCTCATGACCTCTGCTGTGCCGCATTCCAGAGGTTATGTGACCTTTGATGCACTGCGTCGCGGAGGTCGCATGACTTTTGTTGCACCTGTCGCTAAACCCGCCCCTCGCTGTACCTCTGCGGGACAGTATCCATATCCCTGGGCAGTCCTGCTTCAGGCTCGCTATGTGTCAGCTTGTCTTGCGTCCCGGGTCACTCCCCCTGGACTACAACGCCCTTTCTTTTGGATCCCTTACATCATTTGGTGTCCATCCCAGCTCCCTGGGGGGTCCATCTGGTCTGAACAGCTCCGTGTCGTGTGTTCTCTGTGTGTCCCAGACGTCGCTTGATCTTTGCTGCACCTCATACCAGGTTTTAGTTATAAGGCTATATTTTCCTTCTGTTGTTATGAGGAAAACTACAGATACATCACAACATAAACACAATGTATTTGTAGCTTTTTGCACTTTCTCTAAACTCAGCTTTTACTCAACCTGTCGCCTACAGACGTTTGTTAAGGTGGCTTACATAAAATTGAACTGTTTTGGGGAAACTACCCTGAGAGTGTCTTGTTTAATTTTGTTCCCTTAGTGCCCTTTTATACCTAAATGGAGATTTTGATGGAGGGGAGTTTATTTTCACTGAAATGGATGCAAAAACAGTGACAGTAAGTGAATTATTTCTGTTCTTACTGATGCTTGGTGTTAAAATATATATATAATCACAATAATCATTACAATTTTGTATAGTACAGGATTTAACAGAAGGGTGCACTAGCACCGGATCTGAAACTGCTGATTAGTAGACTGGAAGCGAAGTACTACAAGATGGCATCTTGAACTGACACACTATATCCTAGTGGTTTCCTAAAGCCCTTTAGATGATGTAATTTCTCCATTTTATTCGTGTATTTTAACTGACGTATTATACCAGTGGGTTTTATTGTTATCTTGGCGTTTGTGACGTTCATCCAGTTTACAGATCTTTCCATTTCATTTTCATGCTTAGGCCTCCGTGAAGCCCAGGTGTGGGCGAATGGTGGGCTTCTCGTCTGGAGGGGAGAATCCTCACGGTGTGAAAGCAGTAACCAGTGGACAGAGGTGTGCAGTGGCACTGTGGTTTACTCTGGATCCTCTATACAGAGAGATGGTGAGCTGGTGACTCCCACCTTGTCCTTTTATCTCCTTGTAGAAACCCTCAAATGTAACATGCAACTACTATGGAACAAGTCATAGGTTTATTCCATGCTGAAAAGAGAAGAAAGAAAACACAACGTTTCGGCTATGGAGCCTTCTTCGGGTGTGGAGCCTTCTTCTTGACACCCGAAGAAGGCTCCACAGCCGAAACGTTGTGTTCTCATTCTTCTCTTTTCAGTATGGAATAAACCTATTACTTGTTCCTTTACAGCCTACGCATGCTGACACAGCTACCCACCTGAAAGAATTAAATGACTATTATTGTTGTTTTATTTGAGTGCCTTTATGAGACCCTTGGGTGTAGCTAGTTGCTGTGTACTAATAGCCCACTAATCTAAGACTAAAGGAGTACTTTCCGCCAGGTTTAGATGTTGAATTTTCTTGTGAAAACAATCCTGTTAATGGAGCAGTATATTTGGCTTTGTCCTCTTGAAGCAGCAATGTAAACTGCTCCCAATTTGTGGCTGATCCCATTCCATGGAAGTGTTTGATGCACAGTAATAAAGTGTTCTTTATCATTGGAGCATTGCATTCCTCTAACAAAGGGTTCTCGTCCATGTACAGGAAAGGCTGCAGGCTGACGAGGTGATCCACTCCTTAGACAGCGACAACTTGAATAAAGAACTTCAAATAAACCCCCGGGACGAACTGTGAGGAGAACGTGGAGGTCACGGAGCATAATGTTATCTATTTATTTAATTGCATTGATCTTTACAGAATGTTTTTATTTTTGTACTGTGTCTGAAGTGCCAGTTTTCCAGTTTGTGTGGACGTGTGTGAAATCGCGGAGACAATCTGTGTGCTCCTCATACCAGTACTCGAGTCTGCTTTCTGTGATTAGAGTCTCCCAGACCTGTGCATATTTTTACCCTAAGTAGTCATCCAGGCACAAATTCGCCAAACACTATTGGAGGTCAAACTAGCTGATGCCAAAAAAAGCCTTTCAGCTTTCATTTTCTGAAAAGCTGTAAAAGATTAAAGGTTTGCTGTTCATGATTTGTCTTATTTGAAAGCAAAGACTGGTCTGCAATTTAAATTATTAATCTTATGTCCCATTCAGATCTCAAGCGCATTTTTCATGCTCACTGAAATTTGTTTAGAGGTTTATTTTTTCTCAGTTTTTCTATTTATTTATAGATTTTGTATAGTGGAATTCTTAGTTATTTTGGAAATGCCATTATTTAAGCCTGTTTGGATGTAATCATTTATGTGCCAATTTATTGTGCAGTGGTGCTCCAAAGAAGTTTGAGTTTGTGTATCCAATGTTTTTCCAGGTGAGTTTGGGTCTGTTTGTGTATTTAAAAATTCAGTTGGTATTAGATCATGAAATTTTGTTTCAGAATTCTACTTCATTTGCATACACCAGCCATTAATTCAGCAGTGTATGCAAATAAAGTAGAATTGTTTCTATTGACTCTCTTATTTTGGATCAACCTCAAAACTAAATTCTTTAATGTGCCATATTTAATCTAAATGATCTATACAATTCAGGAGGAGAATTCTCTCTGTCCCATTAAGGCCAACAAACACTGCTAGTGAAGTTTAACCAAAACATTACCTCTGCTATCTTCTGAGTGAAGGAAAAAAATCTGAGAATCTGTTAAATTCACAGATTCTCAGACTGAATTAAGTATTACGTAAAAAGATAGGCAGAAGACATTCTAATCACTTTTCCACAAAATATGATTTTGAGTTTTGTATTCAGAAGACTTAAAAGGGTGGCTTCTATTTTGGACTGTTCTCCTAACAAAGCCTTCGTGCCATGCTAGATGATAAAAATGCCCCCCTTTGTAAAACAGTATGTTTGAACTTTGTTTTAAGCCAAAACACCATCATAAACATTCTAAAGATGCCTGGCTGCGCGTTAGTAATCATAAGCTGCCACTATGATTGTTAACATTTAAAAGATCTTTTATTTATTTCTGTTTCAAGAAATTTTAAATTTGAGGTGGCAGACAGAAATTGTTTATTTTCCAAGAAGCCATGTTGACTGGCACCATTGTATTGGGTCCAGTGGACACTTTGAAGTGTGCTAATGCCAACTGTACTGTTTTATTATTTAAACATCCACTGCACCTTTTGAGTATTTGTTGAGTTGTATTGCTATTACAAAGTGGAATTTTGGAGAGCGTGCTGAGCAACCCAGTTGTTTTCACTTTCCTTGTAATGCCTATGTAAATAAGAATTCTGCTGCATATCAGTGATGGTGTTCCTTCTACATTATTTAATTAAATTATTGTTAAACTGTAGATGGATTTTAAAAAAATAAACTTTTCTTTTTCATGCATTTCTTTTCCAATTTTGTTTTTCCAAATTGATGGGTTAGTGCGCTACAGCGCCCTTAAAGATCCCTGTAAGTATTAAATCATTCTGGGGATACGCAGAGGAATCCTCTCGATGTTCAAGTTGTTTACTTCACTTTTGATTGTACTGAACTGAACAAATGACCTGCCTACAAAGTCAAGCTTTAGATCTTTACAAGTTTATGCTTGAAAACGACCTGTAATACCTGCAGGAATCCAGTGCTAACGCACTAGATCTGTCCCTCCCTGGTCTGGAACATGTGCTGTGGAAAATCTAATTTCTACATGAAATTCTACATTTTTCTTTTGCCCCATAAGAATTAACAGGCTGCCACCTTAAGGACAAGACACCCTAGCTAGAATACAGAACAAATAAAGATACACAAGTCAAGTTGGTATATTTTATTTTTTGTTTATATCAAAATTAAGAATGCGTTTATAAATCTATAACTTGTGACATATATACAAAAAACTTTACAAGAGGAATGTTTCCCAATGTGTAAAAAACGTTCTAGAAAAGTTTATCTCTTACTTTCAATAATTTGGATATAGTAATTTTCTAACAGAACATTGTGGTTCTGAGCATTGTTTTAAAGACAGAACTATTCTTTTTTAACTCAGAATATCAGATGAACTTTTACAACAATGTTAACATAATGTAACCATACAGTAACTTGAAATGTATAACCCCTTATAGACCATTTGATAATGATCCAGCCTCAGAAAAGTCCATCACTTGCCAATTTTTTTAGGATAGCCTCCACATGTATGAACAAAACCTGCAGCTTGTCAATGAAAATCTTTGATGTAACCAGCCCATACCCATAAAGGAGTGTTAAGTAATTATATACAACCTCTTCTTATGTAAAAGCATTCAGTTTGTCAAAAAAAAATGACTTTTCAGATTAGAATAATTATTTAAATTCTGTTAAAATATCTTGGAATGTTTTGATTGAAATATAGGACTCTGAATTTCGTAATATACATTGAAATGACAGAATAACAAACAAGACCTCAACAATGAATGAAGCTGTTACCTTTCAAATAGAAGCAAAATCTAACGTCATGTAGTGTCTTCAGTACACGCTGTAGAGAGAACACTACATTTCATAAGATTTTGCCTATACTGCACAGTGTGTAATAAGTTTAGGATTAGGTTACTATAACCTAAAGGTTCTGTCTTAATACTCTAAGCAGCAATAATAAGGCTTATAATGGTAGTATTCTGAGATAAATGTTGTCTGACATCTCAACTGTTTTCTGTTGATCAGTCATTCAGAAAATACAGCTGGACTGTTTCATAAAGATGTCTTAAGCTGCAGGACTGGAGAGATTTATAGCTGTTTAGGTCACATAAACAGAACCCATAGGGACTAAGAAGAACACTACATGGCTTCAATTGTCCCATCAGAATACAGTAGAAAAGTAAAGACTCACTCTAAAAAAAAAAACTACTGTATTTGGGACAACCCCTTTTTCCACTTTAAACAAACTCTTTTTATACAAAATATGTATATACAATTCTAAGATTGTTTGGGCATTATTTACATTAAGACAACTGTCTACTTTCGCAGCTTATATAAAACAGAGAATTATTCAAACACCACAACTTTTCACATTCAGCACCACTCACAAAAAATGCAGTTGCCTATAACAGCTTTGAACAAATACATCCTAGTGCTATCTGGTCACCGACAACCTTATTGTGCCTCAGAGGCAGCAAAATATCTGATAGACAGTCTCTCGGTCCACATTTAGAAAGTTTACTATGCCTTAATTGTGATGTTCGAACATTCCAGCAGTTTTATATGAACTATTGTACATCGGTGCACACTAAACGTTTGATACACTAAATGAATCCCATATGGTGTTTTGTCGCTTCACGTATCTGATGTGAACCGTAATCTTTTGCTAATCTTTTCTGGACAAAAAGTCCCACCTGAAAGTTAAATCTACACCTGGTCCAATATACTGTTAGTGACCATAATTCAATACTTCAAAAAAAAAATCTCTCATTTACAGTCATTATAGAAGTGAAATGGGTAATACAATACCTACTGTATATTAAAGAATACTTTGTATAATGACACTCTTTGCCATAGTCAAAAAGGATAATTCTAAAGATAACACTTTTGGCAGTATTTTGGAAGAACAACGTTAAAAAAACTTCAAAATTATACAATCATGTTTGGCTAACGCCTGTGTTTAGTAACATTTTGCTTTACAATAAGAGAAGAGTTTACCAGACCACTGTAAAGCACGAACTACTGTATGTTTAAACAAATCAGTCAGTATCTGGGATACCGCGCAGTAAAGTTAACCTTAAACCTAAATATGAAACACGCATTTTGCTATGGCCCTAATAAAAGAAGAAAAAAAGCCTCACTCAATGCTAAACTTTGTTAACTGAACTACGGGACAAGCTGAACACTGGATAGTTTAGAAGCAAGAAATAAAAAAAAAATATATGTACCCGGTATGAACGGTATTGTTAAGTGCTCTGTCAAAGAGATAAAAAAGTAATGCACTTACAAGCACCACCCACCTTTCACCCAGCTAACCATAAATCAAGGTCTGGATATGACACTGTAACAAAATATAAACAAAAAAAATAAGTGCATCTTTTTTTGTCTTTTTTTTCTTTAAAAGAAAGGGTATTAAAGAAGAGCCAAAGCACTACGAAAGCGGAACGTCCTGTCACAGTTTTGCGTTGGAAGGGTGAGGGGGGACTAGAGTACAGGTGTTCCTACTCGCCCTCCTCCTTAATGCGCTGCTGCTTGTTCCGGCGGGCATCCATGTCGAAGGAGAAGTCGGGCCAGTCGTCGCGGGGAGGGAAGGAGATGGTCTGGCGCAGAGTGAAGCGCACGGCGTCGATGACCCGCTCTCCCCGGGCCTCCGACGAGCCCACGCTGACGGTGGAGGACCCGCTCGTGGTGCGCAGGATGTGGGGAGGCGGGGAAAACTCCATCGACTGCCGGTGGTCCAGGATCCCCTTCCAGATGATGTGCTGAAACTCGGTGGGGATCTTGAGCCGGGACAGGTCCTGAAAATAATGATTAAAAAAAGCCAATTAGCTTCCCTTCCAAACCCTCCTACAAAACGGGTTTCTTTTTAGAAGCGATTTGGAGTCGGGGAGTCCAAGGGCATTACCTCCATGTTGTAATTCTCAATCTGGTAAATGTTGGTCAGTCCTTGAGCGGTGAAATATTCGAGGCAAGCGGAGCACCCAAGTCTCACAAGGAAACTGAAAACACATTAATAAAAACACCCAATGAATTTTGAACAGCGGGTGAAGACCCTCCAGTCTTCGAATTTGAGATAACGGACAACGTTGTTTTTTTTAAGTTCACACCTCAAACGATGTGGACTGTAGTTAACCACACTACAGATTTGTTACTTTTCTAGTTCATAATTAAGTGTCACAAGGGCTTGCACTCTATTAAAACCAGTGCGTCCGATGCGATGCTGCTCCACACGGAGCACCACAGACAGCACAGCTAAGGGGCAGTACAAGCCCACCAGCACAGCAGCTGGCTCACCTGGAAATGCTGCTGTCCGTGGGGTAGGGTGGTGGAGGTGTGCAGTGGGAGGAGGGCACCATAGGCAGCTGTGGCTGCAGTGTGTGTGTTGGGCTCAGCGTGCTCATGTCACTGCCCATGGGCATGTGCGTGCCCATTATTGGCGTCACTGTAAAGATCAAAAGCTCTTGTCAGCACCCATCCATCACAAAACGGCCATCGTGTTCAACAACAAAAAAAAAACAACCCACAAACTTCTTTCTTTTGTTGCTTTTTTAAGGCGAGGAATAGGATGATTCCGGTGGTAGCATGACGTTCATCACTCCTGCATGTCCCAGCCTTTGTTTAGATTAAATATTGTAGGGGGATTTGAAGGCATTTACAAGAATAACTGAATCTGTACTACACATTACAGGAGACAGTCTTGCAGTTCTCGTGATACACACTGGCATGCTGCGACATGTATTGAAGCCTAGTGTTGCGACTGTCTTGCCGTCATGTGATAGCCTGCAGGTTAACATTGAACAGGAGGACACACTTACTGTCAGTGAGGCCTCCAGACATGCTGGAGGGGGTAAGGGAGTTGCGCTGCTGGGGGTTCATGAGCTGACTGACAGAGGGCAGTTTGTTCATGCTAGGCCCCTTGCTGAGAGGGGGAGAGCTGGAGCCGAAGGAAGGCTGGGATTGCATGGAGCTCCTGGGGCACGGAAAAGGATACATGCCGTTACTCTCATCGTCCAAGACACCGAATCTTCAACAACACAAAGCCCTTTCGTTAGTCACATCCCACAGTGTCACAGTGCCAACAACACACATCTTTTGTTCAGAGAATAAATATCAGAGAAGGGCTTTGCACTTCACAAGAGCAGAAGTAATTCTCTAAGGAAAAAATGATCAATCAATCAAGTCAATGGACAGGTTTGTTGCATACTGAATATCTACATAAAACATTTCTCTACATTTCACCTAAGACACACGTTAACATTTTTTGTTTTGATTTTTCTATTAATCGGCAAAGGAACAAATAAAGGTTTATTCCATACTGAAAAGAAAAGAGATACAACATTTCCGCCTGTGGAGCCTTCTTCAGGTGTCAAGGCTAAGGTGTGAAGGCTCCACAGCAGAAACATTGTTTCTCTTCTTTTTTCAGCAGGGAATAAACCTTCTCTTGTTCATTTGCAGCCTACGCATGCTGATGCAGCTACCTACATGAACTTCTATTAATCTGCCTACAGGACATTATTTGCTTCAATCATAATTAAGAAGGGCATTTTTAATTATGCTTATTGATTTATAATGCAAAGTTCACAATAAAGCGTAATTGCAATATCAAAATTGTTTTGAATACTTTCTAACAGACATCTGGTTATCTGAGCATAACAAAATCAGGGGGAAGAACACTTGGTTTAAACATACTGTATTCAGTACATT